TATTATGTGCTTGAGATCTATTTTATATGCTCCACATGCAGTGCAGACGTGATTGTAAATGCCTGGAAGTGCACAAATGTATTGCATAATCTTAATGTTACACGCATTATTAATATGTAAGACAGACGATGTATAAGGATTGCGTCTCCACCTTGTCCTTAAGCAGTCAGGTGACTCGAGTGAAGGTTCTGCTTTGTGTCATCAGTTCGGCAGCGTTGAAACACAGTAGATAAATACTCACGACAGAGAGACGCCCACATGTATGAGTACAGACTGATTACCTTCCCAGCTCTGACCACCTCCTCCACTTCCCTGCTACCTCTCTGTGTTTTCCTCTTTTTTCCATTTCCAACTTCTCAACATGTGCAGTTTCAGACCCTCATCCTTCATCTCTTTAGATGTTAAGTGTTAAGGATGGATGAGGACTGGGAGGAGGGCTTGTGGAAATCTGGAAAGGGTTAGAAGAGGTAAGACATTGGGGGGAGGAAGTTGCGAGTGCAGAGCATGGGCGAACACACAATCTCCATGGCAACGGTTTGATCTTTCTCTCTGAGGCTGTCAGGCCTGCAGCGCACATGGTGACGGAGTGGACAGGTTGTGCTGATGACCAGAGGTGGGGAGGTGAGCTGTGGAGGGGATGGGGGGGGGGGCTTGGATCAGAGACGGTGGTCGGTGCCTCCAATCCCCCACCCCCCCCACCCTCCTCTCTCTTGCTCTGCCATCTGCAGACCCCAAGAGCTGCTTTGATTGGATTAGCCATGAATTAATGAGACAGGCTGGAAGAACAGCCTCTGTTGTGGAAATCTCTTATCATATCTTAATCCACTCTTTGTGTGAGCGCGTGTGCCTGTGTGATCTTATAGGTTCTTTAAATGAAATCAAAGAAAAGCAAGTCGTTTTTTTTTTCAAATCCCGAAACGGCAATTAATTATTTTTTGTGTCAAATATAATGGAGTGAAGTAGTTCTCAAATTAGGGAACACATGTTAAAGCCTCATCATGGACATGTTGCTTTAATTGGTGCATAGTGTAGAGAAAACGTCCTCCATAGACGTCCCTTTAAAAGCAACAAGTGCCTTTTTCTGCTTTATTTTTACTTTATCTTCAGGTGAGTTGAAAAAAGTGTTGAGCTCTTCAAGCCGTTTCATCATGTCATCTGCCAAGGAAACTTTGGAAAGACTCTGCTTGTGTTGGGAAGTGTTGTTTTTGGGTGGCATGAGTATAAAGCAGCCCTGAAGAATAGATTGTTGTCACCCTGATGACTTAAACATTCTTCCTTCTTTTGACCACCAAGTAGTTACAAAAGCAGAGCACTTCCTACTGTCCTTTTAGGTTATAACCAGTGTAGAGTCTGTACATTTTTCTATAACTGCAGCACAGGACTCTGCCTCCATGTCTCCTGGTGTCTGAAATTAATAGCTTACATAGTATTTATTGTTGTAAGTTTCTACTTAGCGTGAGATAGAGGGATCAGGTGGGGGATGGCATTGTTTGGTTTGGGAAGTATTCTGTTGGTTGCCAGGCAACAGGCTCCTGGAAACGGGAGTGGACGGTGTTGCCACTAGCAACCGTTGTTGCTCTGCAAACAATGTGGGCCAGTGCAAACATGAGCCAAGACTGTGGGCTCCTGCTTTTAATTGAACATCTGTATGTGTTTTTCTCTGATTGAGCCGTGTTTAAGTTAGAGCTGTCAGTGACAGATGTTTAAATCTTGTCCACACTATTAACATTAAAGATTGTAGCATTATGACACTTTGTAAGGCTTTGGGGTTTCTTTTAAAAGTGTCTTTCCTTGTTGTAGTGTAGCTTTTAAAACTCAGGTAACTCTTGAAATGAGGGACTGTTTTTGTAGTGTTGTTAAGAGCTCATCTGGGATCTGCATGAATGAAACCAGGCTCAGACCTGACATGGAAATGGACTTGCACGTATAAAGTTGTCTCTGGGTTTGAGGCCGAAAGCTTTTGCACTAAACAGCAGCCCATCTGGAGCAGCTTTTTTTGCAGCAGAGTGCCGTATCTCCTGCTGTGGTCTACCTTTTGTGTTTTTCAAAACTGCTGGCTGGGAATTTCTGCGTCTTTTAACCTTCCCTGAACATGTAAGCAGAAAGAATCCTCTCTGCTTGTACTCCCCCTCTTTCTCTGCTTCCAGTGCATTGATTTGACATGCTTCACCCAATGCTAAAGCCAGTGCCATAATTGAACTTTAATGGATGAAAACGTGAAGGTCAGGGCTCTTTTTCTTGATCCCTCTGCATCGTGCCATGCCACCCACTCTTTAATGGCCACAGAGAAGCCCTCAGGCCAGTGTCACTTCCTCTGGTGAAAATGACAAGTCTAAAGATAAATGATGGAAATGTTGCGAGTGTATTTATAACTGATCTGACACTCCTTGAGCAAATTCCTTGCTTTACAAATATGCTTGATAATTGCAGCAGCTTTTAGATGGCACAATCCTTGTTGACATCTTTCTGATAATAGACATTTGGCCCTAAGAATAACATACGAGAAACACGTGAAGAAAAATAGTAATACAATATGAGAGCTTTCACATGTTAGTGCTAATTGTGCCCTGAACAAATACACAGGAGATGGGCTCAGGGAGTCATTACTGCGTTGTGTTTGAAGATTAACAAATATCAGGAATTTCATCATAGGCCTCCTCCACACCTCACAGTGATGAAGGCAGAGTAGTTTCTGCCTGTTGCAAAATCTCTGTGCATGGAAAATGCCATTGTAGGCACACCCAAATATGTTTTTTGTTTCCCCTCAAAGGGGCTCTGATTATATTTTAAGCACAGTTCCTCCAAACTCTGGATTTACCCCAAAACTACTGCTGATATCATAACCGTCACACAGTTGACAGTTATCTTTTAAATTTCATTGATTTGAAAAAATTGAAGTAGTGTATCTTTCAGCAAGGTCAGTCTGATGTGTTTCATGTCTTTCAGATCACAAGTGTACTATTTAGTTCTTTTCACAGCCAGGTTTGTGTTTTCCTGTATTTTGTATTTAGATCATCTCACCATATAGAGCTGCTATTGGACGACGGATTCTATAATTAATGTTTGATTCAGAGATGAAGAGTGAAAGTCGCCAGACTCAGCTCCTCCTGCGAGTTAACAAGTAGTCGTGCGATGCTCGAAAAAAACCTGGAATCGCTCGCTTCTCTGGATGAAGTAGAAATTATTATTTTCTTTATGATTTACTGTCAAGGTCCTTTTAGAAAAACATTTTTTTAAATAAATTGAGCCCTTACAGTTTCTTATTGCCTGTGGGAACATTTTAGTTTTGGATGTCTGGGATTTTGTGTTTAGAGTCTGTGATACTTTCATTATTTTGTATTTAGTGGCAACATTTAAGTTGGTTGTATAATTTCGTGGTGTTATCCTATATCATCATACTCTGAAAATGTTCCACAAAAGCGGATGTGACTCCTATCTTGGTGTGAGCATGACATTTTGGTTGGAACTCTGGTTTTGTTGAATTTATTTCCCCTTCTCTGCCATCAGCAGCAAACTTCCTTTGATTCTGACTCATTCTGTCCTTGTTTTTGTTGTTCCTTCAACACAGTTTTTTCTACTCTTCTGTGGGTCACATATTAGATTTGGTGTCATTAACGTCTTCTCTGTCGGAGTTCAATCTATTGCTTGGTATAGAAGGCAGTCTTCTCAGGCGTCTATTCAATTGAGAGAGTCTCTGGGAGCAGTGGTTTGAGTCAGTGGATCTCCTGGATAATGCTAATGTGGAAGAATGTTTATTATCATTATTATTTATCGATATAATTGTGCAGCACCATCAGGAAGTTTGGATCAGACTAGACATGTGTAGCTGCACCTGTTGCAGTTAGTCTGCAGCCTGAGTGCCGTTCGCAGGTCTCCTGCAGTAAACTATGATAACACTGTAGTGCATGTCGTGTGTTATGACTAACATAATGAACTGTGTCTCGAGCAGGTTGTGTCATGCAGTGAATGTTCCCTGTGAACACCTTTCCTGTCTGCCGACTGACTTTTCCTGCTGCTCCGTGTGTTTCTGCCTTGAACCAAAGACTGCTCATCAATTCAGCCCACCCCCCAACCGTGCTGTATCTCCCTCTTCCTTATTCTAATCCTCCTCCCCCTCTCCTCTTTGCGGTCGCACTCGAAAGTTCCTGCGCAAGAGCTTTGTAAAGGGGGTGGGGGTGGAGGGTCGGGGGGGTGTTGAGTTGGGGGTGGTCGTCATGGATTCCTCACCATGGCAACCGACAAACGTTTACAAAGCATTGAGGAATTTCCTCATATCAGCTGGATTATTGCAGCCCTCGGAGAATGGCTCTCGTTAGAAACAAACGCTGGATATCAACAGGACCCTGGCAGAGGCCGGAGCCCCACTGCCATTTTCATCTTCCTCTCCCTTCGTTTTTTTTTCTTTTTTGAGAGAGTGGACAAGTTGTTTTTTATCTGCTTACTCCCCCTTGCTCTATTCTTCTCTTGTCCCTGCCTTACTCCCGCTCATTCCCCCTCTGTCCTTTTTTTAAAGAGAGCCTTTGTGTCACTCCATTTTTAGCTCCCCTTTGCTATGCTGTGCACATTGTCACCCAGTGGAAAGACCAGTGGCAGTAGTGGGTAAGGTCCCCAGGAAGCACTTGAGTCCTGTTGGTAACTTGAACTCCTGTACTGTAACTTTGTAACCTGGGTGCGTTCTGTCAGCAGCACAGAGAGCCTGTGTAATACTGTTGTGCTGCTTATTTAGCCATTGATTAAGGCCAGAGGTGGGCAGCCTCTGGGGCTCCGAGCTTTAGTGACTCAGCTTGACTTGGCAAAGCCGGAGACCCCCTGGGGCCTAATGAATGCTCTGGTGGCTCCAAGAAAGAAGGGGTGATGTGGAAGCACATTTACTTTCTTATGGCTGTCCATGTGTATCGGCTTTAAACTCTCTTATTGTTTCCTTTTAGTCTTCATTGATACCTGTAAGAGTATTTCTTCAGTCTGGTATACATTTCTTGTCTTTCTCCCTTGTTACCCAGCATGCAGAGCTCCGAGGGCGGGTCAGACACCACGACCAGCGTGGCAGCGCTGCGCACGTCGTCATCAGCCCAGGCTCCTGTGGTACAGCCTGTCCCGGCCTCACAGCAGGTAGGACACTACCTCTGACAGGAAGAATGGGGAAAGTCTGTGAAGACAAAACGGTTCCATTCTGTTTTTTCCCCCAAATGTTATGTATAAAAGAAAAGTTATTTTGGAAACCAAACCAGGACCTGCTTGCTGTGTTAGTGCTTTGCCTGTGGTGCCTTGAATGATCAAATAATTGCCATAATATCTTGACAACAGAATCTCTCCTGGATACACTTATGGATTAATGTTTAAGTCACCTCCTACAACTAATAAAACATTTTTAAATAGTGGTTTCAATTAGTTACTTACCAACAACTAAAGCTGCCACCCCTCCACTTTGCCATCAGTTGCATCATGGTCTATTTGAGGCTACAGTAAAAGTACAACATAATTAATAAAACCATATAAAACACAGTCTGACACTGACTGTTGTAGTAAGATGTATTACCTTTTATTTATATATGTCGTAATCATCATTAATCTCTCAGCACTTACTAAAATAATAAAATTATTTTGGGGGGGGGCTGCATTTGTGGACATGTTTGCGGATGTTGTGTTGACTTCATGTTTATAGTGACGTGTGTGTGATTGTACATACATACCTATGTAATTGAGTTATGTCTTGTATCCACACAGAGGGTGCTGGTTCAAGCCACAGGCTCAGCTCAGAAGGGAGGACAAGTACAGCAGCTTTCAGTACCCAGGGTTCAACAGGTCCCTCAGCAGGTACACAGTACTGTACATACATATACAGTGCTGTGAACGTATCTGTGCATCCCTTGATTTTTTTTACAATAAAAAAAAACCAACATTAGTTTGACTTTCGTTACCAAGCCGGTTTATTTTTACAATAAAGTAAAAGATGATCAAATTAATTTCAGTGATATGAAATACAACAAAATTATACCCTGTGTATATCCACCAGGTTATATTTGTGTCTCTTACAAATATCTGATCAACTCTTTGTGGTTTCTCGTTGGTTTCTAGTAAACAAACTAAACAGTAACCAAACCATGTTTGTCTCAAACGTTTGATAAAGATCCCAAAACACGGCTGCACATCTGCTCATCCAGAGATGAAATGTTTCTCCTGCTTCCTCTGCCCCCCTCACTGTGTGTCTTTTCTCTGGCTGAGCCTGACCCACTGCTTGCATACATGAATAACATAATAATACATATCATGTCTTTTTATGATGATGTGTATGGCAGAAAGTCTTCTCTGAGTCCCATTGTATAATGTGACCTTGCTGTGAAGCCCGGTAATGTTCCTGGAGGCTTGAACCAAATCCCAGCACAAAACTGTGTGATGTCGAACATCTAATGGTGAAAAACTAGCATCTGACCTGACAGTCTACTATTAGCTGGTCTTAGGTGTCCGTCTTTAATTTCTGGGTAATACTACATGATCAGCAAATAACAGATGGACAGCGCATTACCTGCTTTTTCCATTTCTCCCCCTCACTATTTCTTCCATTTCCAGTTGTAATGTTTGTCGGATTTTTCAATCAATTATTGTTACTTCTGATCTGCTGTCAATATAAGGTTTATTATGTGCTAAAATTGTACAGAAAAACTACATCAAATGCCTGGGTAGGTCTCAATACTGACACCAAATATACACATACACATATACCATATGTAACAATATATTTAACTTTACACTGTTTATATATTTAGCCAATTACCTCTCTCGCTGACCTTCTACGTCTCAACAGTTTCTATAAATAGAGTGAGATATTTCTTTATTCACAGGTCTGCTACTTGTGAGCTCTGCTTCTTTAATACTCTTGTTGTTTCTCTGTAGGTGCAGCAGGTGCAACATGTTTACCCATCCCAGGTTCAATATGTAGGAGAAAATGGAGAAACTGTTTATACCAATGGAACCATGTAAGTGATGTTTCAAAAATACGGCAAAGCAATGATGCATTAAACAAAGTGCAACATGAGCCAGTAAGCACATTTTAGAGTTTCAATAAATATCAAAGTGTTACACAGCACTTTGCAAAATATTCTGAGTGTTAATCACAATAATCCACTCCCTAGCCGAACGGCCTACTCCTACAACCCTGATGCCCAGCTCTACGGGCAGAGCAGCGGGGGATCCTACTTTGATTCGCAGGCTGGCGGAGCTCACGTCACCACGGTGGTCTCCTCCGCCAGCGGTGGGGTGCCCCCTCATGGCATGGTGGGCATCGCCATGGATGTGGGCAGCAGCCACATCATCTCCAGTGGCAGCACCTACCTGATCCATGGAGGAAGCATGGAGGGAAGCCGCAACCACATTTCACACTCGTCACGCTCCTCCTCAGCTATGGTGAGCAACACTCACACTGTTCCAGTGGAACTCAAAAGCACATTTTACATTGGAAAAAACATGACCAAAAACCCTGCTAGTCAGAGGTTTACACCAAACAAACAGAATAAATAAAATGATAGTTTTGCTCCCTCAACTAGTGGAGATCCTAACTACCATACTGTATGATGTCATCAAATGCATACTGGTGCTAACTGTCACCATTGCTGAGGCTTTGTCCAGACTGGGCAGGCTCCCAGAACAGGCCTGAAAGGCAGGGAGAGAGACGTGGGTTTTAAGGCAACCTGAGTCTAGGCCTCCTGGCTCTGCAGTAGCACACAGAGAGCAGAGCAGTACAGGGCAGAGAGCTTGTAGAATCAGGACGCTGGCTTAAATAATTCAGCACTGCCTTGTTTCAGAGGTTTTCACAGGCACTTGAGCGCCCTGCAAAACAAAGCAACCCCTGGGGCTCATTACCATTTGGCCAAGAGCCCTCTGGAGCCTTCTTAAGGCTTGGAATGCTGCCTGCTTCTTTTCCCTTTTTCTTCTATGTCTCCAGTTTGGCTGCAATAGCACATATCTTTTCTTTTTAACTTGATTTTCCTCTGCAGCTCAACAGAACGTCCCTGGTTTTGTCATTCACTTTGCTTGGCACCAGTAGGACTCCATCATTTTTTGATGTCTAAAGACAGAATAATATGTCAGTGTGTTTCTCATTGTGACACTGTTTCACTTGTAGGGGCATTGTTGACCTATTGTCCCTGAGCTTGACGTGACCTGTGCCCCTGTTTGTGGTTCCTATTTGCATACATTAGAGTGTCTGACTGCAACCCTCCACTGAGCAGCTTAACCCTATAAGACCCTTGATTTGCATGCTTTTGTCAGCCAATAATGGATTTGGCTGCAACACTGACTGATTTTTAATGGAAATGCAGAGATCTGGCTGCTCGCTAACAGTCTTATTTTCTTTTGTTATGTTTTTTTTCCTCCATATACCCTGCTTATTTCTGTCCCCTTCTCTTCTTCTGTCTCTCTCACTCTTTTGCCTCCTCTCCCTTCTTTATCCACTATTTTTTTGCATGCTTCTTTCTTTAGCTTGAAATGGCGATTGAAAACCTCCAAAAGTCTGAAGGAATTGCAAGTCACAAAAGCAGCCTGCTCAACAGCCATGTAAGTCAACCAGGAACTTTCTTTGAGAAGGATATGAGAGAAAATGATAAAAAGAGAAAAAGACATCAGAGGCTGAACCTGAACGCTGTGTGTTCTTCTCCTGTCCTGCTCAGTTGAGCACAGTAACCCACTGCTAGCTTTACTCTCTCTGCACTGTCTCACTGACACAAATGAGCTGAACTTGCATTTATTATCACTTTTTCCTAAAGAATACACCTTGTATGCGTGTCTGACTTTGGATAACTGATTGATTCGTGTTATTTTTACACTTAAATAAACCAATACATGCATCGATCTTTACAGTGTAAGCCCACATTCTGACAGACGTTTGCCCTACGTTTACCACAGGGGGCTGCATTGGTGGGGGGTATTGTGTCATGTAGCGGCGAGACAGTGAAGTAAGATCCGCGAAGTCCAGTATGAGGAATGAGCTTGCATGCGTGCTTGCAGGTATACAATTAGTCAATGCTGCACCCTGGAAGATGATGTCACATAAACACACTTCTTCCGTCAAATGAATGGAGATGAGTGGGAAGGACCTGTGTTTGTGTGAATGGGGCCTAACTTTTCTCTCGTCGGGAGGCTGTCACTCAAGTCTAATGACATTAAAATTTGATTCTAATAGTTTTCTATTCTTCTACCTTCACTCACATGGGGCAAATTTGTGGTTCAGATGCTTTCCTTAACTTCCAGCTCTTAACCTCAGCCATCTCCTCACAATGCCAATATCAGTATTTGCTTTGAAACTGATTTCTAAATTGGCTATATGAGCTCTTTATGTAAATTGTTTTGATTAGATTTTTACAGACAGAACTATGACTGTGTTCTCCTCAGTAACTTGGAGGTTTGTGTGATAGAATAAATAGATCTCCAGATGTTTGAGTGTTCACTCAATCAGCCATTCCTTACACTCACTCACTTCTTCAGTCAAGCCTGAGCTTAGCAGTAGTGTAATGTCTTATCTGGTGTTTCACTTTCTAAAACAAGTTACGTTGTTTGTGTGTTTGTGTGCGATCAGTCTTTTGAATTGATAATACGATGCACTGCTCCCTTCCATTAACAGCCAGGTGACTGTCACAGAGTCTGTCTGTTAGGGCTCACTGATTGTGTGACTGTTGCTTCCTTTGTGTATTTTTAGCTGCAGTGGCTCCTGGACAACTATGAGACAGCGGAGGGAGTCAGTCTGCCCCGGTGCTCCCTGTACAACCACTACCTGCGGCACTGTCAGGAACAGAAACTGGATCCGGTCAACGCAGCCTCCTTCGGCAAACTCATCCGATCGGTCTTCATGGGCCTGAGGACCCGCCGCCTCGGCACCAGGTACACACAGGAAGAGGCTGTCGCAAATATTGAAGATGCTGATAATAGTAATCATGTTACCATTATAGATGTGATGAGTATTATGATGCTTATAGGCATCGGAGGCCTGCTGATGGAAGAGGATAATGATAGTGATTACACAGATGGCAAGACTTCACCTCCTCACTGTTTTTCTGTTTTTTCTCTCACTCTCTCCTTGGCCAGAGGCAACTCTAAGTATCATTACTATGGCATCAGGGTGAAGCCAGACTCACCCCTGAACCGGCTGCAGGAGGACACCCAGTACATGGCCATGAGGCAGCAGCCTGTCCACCAGAAACAGAGGTCAGAGCTCTCTCCCTGCGATCTGACATTTTTACTTTATCAGTCTTACTTTCTGTGTACCTGCTTTCTCTCTCCTTCAAAACTCAGCTGACCTGTCCTGCTCTCTCCTCTGTGTTCAGGTTTAAACCACTGCAGAAGGTGGATGGTATGTCTGACAGCCTGTGTGGGAGCTCTCAGAATTGTAACAGCACTCCAGAGCAGTCGGTGGCTGCTCAGAGTCAACATCACCAGCAGTACATAGGTAAGGGACAAATGCTGGTTGGCCGCTGCCTCTACTACGTTTCCATGATGACACAACTGCATTTAAAAATTCACCTATACAGCACTAGATGATTTTCTTCAGTGTCATCACAAAGTAGAATCAATATTTTGCACAACTACCATCACATCTTCGCTTCATTCAGAGCAAACGCACTCGTACATAATAAATGTCATGTTTACATACACTAAGACAACTTTTATATGGTTTCTAAGTAATTAACTGTGTTTTTGTGTGTGTTGTGTGTACACACACGTCTGTATGAGTTAGTTGAGTGACACCTGTCTACATTTTTTTGGTTTATGCAGATACATCCCACACCTTGCCTCCGTTTCCCACCCCTGATTTGGGCACTCAGCCTCTGCCTGAGCGCATCAACATGAATGATATCAAGAAGCTGCAGACGCTCTACAGAGACCACTGTGAGGTGAGTTATATCACAGTGCTACTCTTACCCTACTGCTGACTAATAGAAGTTACCTGCGTGTCAGGGAGAACTAGAAAGTGCATCTCTATTATGCTTTATTTTGCCAAATTAAAGAAAGTGGAAAGAAATCCTGGACCCTCCTGTTAGTCTGGATCTGCTCAAATTGGTTAGGTTCCTCCTTGGGTCATGCCCCATCCTTCCATAAAATTCCCTGGAAATGATTTCAGTAGTTCTTTATTAGTTCTGCTGACAGTAAAAACATAATCTCCTGGTTGGAGACAAGAACACTGAAATATACCATATGGCAATTGTGTGGCACCATTTCCCTATTAAACATTAATTGGCCCTGATATATTAACCAAACATGTAACCAGCAAATATGACGATATTTCCAGTTAAAGTCACGATAAGTGACTGGAGGAATATTTAAGTTCAGACAGAGACTTGTAAGTGTGCAAACTCACAGAAAGCTACAAAAATAGCACATTAAACATTAAAGTACAGCTTACAATGCTGCCTGTACGTTATATGATTGTATTAATTATAACTGTCTGTGGCTTGAACTGGGTGGAAATAAGGACATGGGAACAATGAACAATGCTATTTCTGCACTAATTGAATTCTAATGGCTCTGATAATGAACTCTTAATTATGTCATATTGAACGCTTGACCTGCTGAAGGATATCTTTCCTATATTGAATCGTTCGCTGTGAGTTAAATGAGTCAAAATAGTCTGAAGTTTTATATCACCAGCGCAGCGCCCGTCGAGCTGGAGCCTGACCTTCAGTGACATCATCGGAGGGTTGTGTCTTAAACATTGTTACCACGGCAACAGCGAGTGCCGTTTACGGTTTATAAGTGAATGGCGGAATCTGTGTGTGTGTGTGACCATTTTCTCGACAACTGTTCATCAGCAACACACCCGCCAAGTTTGAAGTCCATCAGTCGGTGGTGGAACAAGTTAAAAGAGAGAAAAAAAGACAAATATTCATCTTTTTATAGTGTGATTGTTATTTTCAACAAATCTTATGAAAACAATGAAGCCAACAACGTATTTATATGATGAATAAGTATTTTTGGTGTATCCAAAGCCTATTAAAGTTTATTCCCCTGTCATAAATCTTCCACCGTTGTCCAAAAACTATAATAAAGCCCGCCATTGAACCACACCGTTACACTAGCAGACGTGTTTCTTCATCACTGTGATCATTGGCAGTGTAGTTTATTATGAGTCAATCCCACATACACAGTCCTACTGGAATACAGGTCCTAACTGAAGCAACAAATGTCCATTGATATTCTGCTGAGAGAAAATAATACCCAAATAATACACAGTTGGAGTTAATTTTGCTTTAAGCCAGAACGACATTTAGTAGCGCGCATACGTATACCAGCACCCACCAGTCGCCTTATGAAACTTTATATTCAGATCCAGATTTTCATGTGGTTTAGCACCAAATTGCACACATTCATAAATATCAGTCCCCTTAAGAGGTAACCAGTTGTTTTAGAAAATCAGACCATATGTGTGAACCCTTTTCAGAAAAGTAAAAAAGTATTGAGCAATAAATCAACACCTCCCTGGTTTTGTGGAATTCCTTGACAATAGGGGAAATATAGAATAGCGCCAGCGTTGTACCTTGGGGCAGATACACATGCTGCAACAGGAGTCACAATTAAAACAACCTGCAGCAGTCAACAGCCGTTGCCTGTGTCTTACCTAAAGAGAACATGACAGAAAATAAAAATCTATAAAGAAGAAAACAAACATATGAAAAAAGAGCTAAAGAGAATTATTACATAATCACATTTCATAGATTTCATAATGTCTTGGTAGGATGTCCCCCCCCCCCCCACGAAGAAGCACGCTATAAATAATATTGAACATTACATTTTGGGGGGGTTACTGGCAGCAGAGGGGCTATGAGGTGGTGGTGGCGAATCTCCGGCTTTATCATATTATCCCTGCCCTCCTCTTGTCCAGCCTCACCACGCTCCCTTTGTTCCAGCCGTCTTTTCATCTCTGTGCAGCTTTCAAGACATGCCAATTAACCTTTCAACGCGCTGGGTGGACATCTTGGTGTCTTTGTGGTGGCCTCCCCTTGGGCCTTTGTGTTGCCTTGTCTGCGGACAGGCACATGGGCTCCTGTCTTTGTCTGCTGGCGTATTTCTGTCACTCTCACAGCTCTCGTTGCCTCCGCGTGTTTAATGATTATGCATCTTACTTTTTTCCCTGTTTCTGGGAGCCAGCGGTGACCTGTTAACGCGTTAGTCAGGGCTTTCATCAATGATGCTCAAAGCTACAGGCAAAGAAATGTTTTCTTTCTTTCTTTACTTTCATGTAGTTATAAGAGTTTGTTTTGATTGAGGCTGTAAATAGATATGTATGCACTGTTGGGCAGTAACGTCATAACAACAGTGGAATATTCAATCTGCTGCACCAGTAAGTTATTGTTTAAGCACAAATAATTAAGTGTTTGATCAAAGTGTGAGAGTAATAAATCACACTGTGTTTGTCAGTAAAGATTTTGGAATCTCTGCTGCAGGCGCATGTGTGTAGATGACGGTGCATGTGAACACGTGTTATTTCTCCCCCACACTTTCTTTCTTTCTTTCTTTTTTTTTAAGGCACGCTGTTTTTCCTGCATGTTGAAAAACTGTCTGGGTAAAACGCTCTTGTTTAGAGGGTATGGGGAATTCTCCTTTTTGTTTTGGAGATCTGTGTTTGACCTGTTGCTGGGGGCAACCGTAAACAAGGTTGCCATGGCGACAACTGGAGAGGAAGCAAAAAACATATCATGTGATTGAAGCCTACTCTGCTGTTGTAACAGGATCCAGCGGCAAGTGCACGTCCTGCCAGATAGAGAAAGAGGAGAATCTCCGGGCACGGTGTAAATCATGCTCTCATACTAATTCTAATTCTCAGTGTGGAGATAAACTGTGGCGGCAAACACAATGAGTTTGACCCCTGCGTCATGAGGAGTCAGGCTGACGTTTCCTTTGGCCTCATGAGCGAACATTAAAAAACTTCTGCAGCGCTGCTCACTCGTGTTTTCCTTTCATATCTGTGCGTCAAGTTTTAAGATTTATCTGCTCATACTTTTTAGAAACAGGTGGCGGCTCTTTCTCCAACAATTAAAGCACTAACTGTGTAATTGTTGAAAAACACTGGCTCGCCTCCACTTCCTTTGTGCCCTCGCAGTGTACTCTGCTTTTCAAAGGGCCTCATACATATGAACAGGAAAGAGGAAGTCACGTGGGTTAGATCTGGTCAGCACCTCGCTGCTAAAATGAGGCACATGCATGAGTACATCTACAAGACTAATCTGCTTTATAAAGACAGTCAAATTTCTTTTAAAAAAAGAGTGTGAAACCAACTTGTGCAGATCAAATTGCAGTCGAAGCCTAAACGTGGTGTTCAGAAACCTCCTGATGATTAATGTGTGGGGAGCTGTGTTTAAGCTGGCTCATTGTCTAACCAGGAGGGCCCAGAGCGAGCGAGAGGCTGCCTGCAGAAACTTTGTTGTGTGTCTGGTTGCCATGGTTCAGCTCTGTATGTTTTGTCCCCCCCCCACCTCCCTCCTCTCTTCCCTCCCCCTCGTTCCCTTCCTCCCTCCCTCCTTTGCCGCTCTCCTGCAGGCGACTCTGGACGTGGTGATGAACCTTCAGTTCCACTACATTGAGAAACTGTGGCAGACCTTTTGGTATTCAACACCGCCATCTAGTGACGGAAATACAACCATCGGCAACAGGTCAGATCACACATGCAGCAGCCGATAAGAAAAGTATTTGCTTAGAATAAGCAGATACAGCCAAACTCTTCTGCTGAGTTTAGAGTTTTGTTTTATTGACAACCTGTTCTGTTGTTGCGTGCAGTGATGAGGACCCAGAAGGTGTGATTCCCAGAGAGAAGCTGGTGGCTCTGTGTAAATATGAACCCATCAGACTATGGATGAGAAGCTGTGATCACATCCTCTACCAGGCTCTCGTGGAGATCCTCATCCCCGACGTCCTGCGTCCTGTTCCCAGTCAGTGCCTCTGCGCTTTTTATTTTGATTCTTTTTTTCTTTTTTTCTTTAAAGTATCAGAAAATACAGAAAAATTTAAATGTTTTTGAAGCTTTGTTCTACAAATAGTCTCATAACTGAAACCTTCATATCACAGAAGACCAAGAAAACAACCAAAAAATCGTCAATCATCTAAATTATTTCCTGCAGATCAATCAATAGATTTGTTTTCGACTTTTCAACTCTTGGAACGAGACAGAGGATGGATTTTAAAACCATCGACTCGTATCTTCCTCATTCCACCCAACTTTAACTTGTGTTTATTCTACGACTTGAACCTTTTAAATTTTACTTTTGCTTCAAGCATAGTGGTGATGCAGTAAATTCAGTTTGTAACCGAGAGCGTTTTGTTTCTTCAGGCACTCTCACTCAGGCCATTCGTAACTTCGCCAAGAGTCTGGAGGGTTGGCTGACCAACGCCATGACCAGCTTCCCTCAGGAGATCATCCGCACCAAGGTAACGAGAAAAACTGATCCTCTTTCTCATGTCTGTTAGATTGTGTTTTGCAGAGGTTTTATATTATTTCGATTCTGTGACTTCTATCTATTGCTTATCTTCAGTCTGAGCCAGAAAGCCTTAGACATTGGAAGTGGTTTGAATGAAGTGTCTGACTTCAGTCATTTAAAAACATGTGTGTGCTCTCTGCTCCTCAGGTGGCTGTGGTCAGTGCGTTCGCTCAGACTCTGAGACGTTACACCAGTTTGAACCACCTGGCCCAGGCAGCTCGTGCCGTCCTGCAGAACACCTCCCAGATCAACCAGATGCTCTCCGACCTCAACAGGGTGGACTTCGCTAACGTCCAGGTAAACTTGTCTGTCAGTTCATCGTAGGTTAAAAATCCATGTTTAACTGTCACAGGTTTGTTGACCCTCTCACTTTGTGTTTTGTTGTGTCCGACAGGAGCAGGCGTCGTGGGTGTGTCAGTGTGACGAGAGCGTGGTCCAGCGTCTGGAGCAGGACTTTAAAGTCACCCTGCAGCAGCAGAGCTCTCTGGATCAGTGGGCGACCTGGCTCGACAACGTGGTGTCTCAGGTCCTGAAGCCACACCAGGGCAGCCCGAGCTTCCCCAAAGCTGCTCGGCAGTTCCTGCTCAAATGGTCTTTCTACAGGTAACGCAAATACCGGATCACATTTATATAATAAAGTATTGACCTTATGACAGGAGATTCTGCATCTTATCTGTGATTCTCGCTCTCCGTCCTGTAGCTCCATGGTGATCAGAGACCTTACTCTGCGAAGTGCAGCCAGTTTTGGATCCTTCCACCTGATCCGTCTCCTGTATGACGAGTACATGTTTTACCTGGTGGAGCATCGAGTGGCTCAGGCCACCGGAGAAACTCCCATCGCTGTTATGGGCGAGGTAACAGAAGAAATTTGAAACTGCTCGAAACACTGAAATGAAAGGATTACAAGTTGTTGTTTTGTTGACTCATCTTCTCTTCCATTACAGTTCAGTGACCTGAGCTCCATGATGCCTTCACTCCTGGAAAAAGGTAAGCTTCTCTTTTTCACAGGGCTAGACCAGAAATTACTCAGTTAAATACTTGTTTTGACTTAAATATTGAGTTTTAAGTTTTTTATTGTAGCTTTAAACTCGGCTGCACATTTGTACTTTAGTTCCTGTCCCACATTTTCTGGTTTTACTGTGGCAAATGATTTCTCCTCTAACAAATCCCTCCCTCCCTCCGCCACTAGACGCCTCCTTCTCTGACGAGATGAGCGACCTGGGCAGCGATGCCGACGCGTCCAGAGAACCTACTGAACCGGCTGTAAAGAGAGAGAGGATTGAAATGAGCCACCCTCTGCAGGAGATGTGAGTCCAGTCCGAACAGGAACCCACGAGGACCAGCATCACTCGCTTTAAAAGGTGACCCTGAAGTGGCTTTTGGGGCCTTTTGGGACACACAGGGCTTTTGAGCCGAGCACAATGCGTCCTTCTGCAGTCGGTGTGTGCAGTGTACATAGAGAGTAGCAATGTCAGCCCACCCCCCTCAGTAGTTTGTAAAGTTGGTGATCTTTCTCCCAGGAAGCTCTCGTCTTTTCTTTCCTCACAGGGGCGTTAACACAGGTCTGATTCTTTTTCCATTTTTTTTTTGTTGCAACTGTGAATGACTTTGTGCAGTACCTTTCTATTGGATGTGTATCTTTGAGTGCTGGTGTGTGGTGTTTATGTGACTCTTATGTTTTTTTCTCTATCAAATTTCAAACTAGTTGTGCCATAGTGTCATTTGAGTGCCTTAGATCGCCAACTTTGAAACCACCACTACAGATGCTGTCTATCTGTCCCTCAGCTGTGCCTCTACCGCAGTATGAATGTATCGTCTCCAAACCTCAGACATTCGAAGCACCTTCAACATTGGTTGGGTGTAGGCGTGTGCTCCTTGTTGCCTCTGCTGCAGCTCGCAGCAAACATGGAAAAGAAAAATAGAATAAAATAATAAACATGCAACCTAATGACCCAAAGGACCTTTCCTTCAGTCCATCCCACCAGCTCAGCCTGTCAGGCAGGGAACAGTCTATTACCTGGGCTGTGTACCACGTTGGTTTGTTTACCTCAATAGATTTCTATGCTATGCTCCGTTTGGCTCAGATGACACGAGGCAAGTATTAAAAAAGAAAAGATGTAGCCGTGTTGCGGTTTTCCCTCATGTAAATAATTCCTCCCTGTGCTGTCAGGAACCTAAAATCATAATCCAGTGACGAGCGTGCAAACCCGTGGTGGTTTTACTCCATCGTCACAGAGTTGGGAACAAACCCAGATCAATAATCTTAACGGTGATGTTAAACTGGAATCTGGTGTAATTTCCTGATAAGAACTGGCCGTACATTTCAAAGGGAAGATGAAGCTCTGGGCCTGTAAACCAAACATACAAGGAGAAGGACGTGGTTGGCATCTGAACCGGCACACGCTCCCCGACGCCGATACTTAAACCTCATGCTGTTACTCAGATAAAGTCTTATACTCTGTTTGGATTAGATAGAAAAAAAACAGTGCGTTATTGGGGGAATTTGTCCATAATGATAAATTATATATATAAATATATATATATATCTTTATATGATGTAGAAAGTGTGTGCTCTGTGGCCTTCGGTCTTTGCCTAATCTCTCTCCTCAAACTGTATCAGACGTGTAATTGATTAGACTGATGTGTGTGCGTGAAAAATCTGTTTCCAATCTCGATCGTTCAATGTGTGAGATTCAGTTTTCACTGCGGTGTTACGTGCACCGAGCGAAGCTGATAAACTGTCACAAGAGAAATCTCTATTTATATGAAATCTTCTGCTTTGATCGACAGAAGCTTTGTGTTTGGTTGATTTTATTTTTTTCCCCTCGTTTTCTCCCCCTCAGATGATTTTGTTGTAGCGATGAGAAACCTTGAGCTTGACTTTATTTAAGGCTTTTTGTAACTTGTGCCTCCTGTCACAGTAATTTGCCTTCAAGTGCTTTGGGGATTTAAACAAAAAAAAAAAGTAATTTCTATGTGTACATTGTAATGTTTTGTAAGGCTGTTTTAGATTTTCGGCGGAGGATTATTTTTTATTGAACTAGATTTGGTTCCTCTCACACGTATACTGAACCCTTATTTTTGTGTCTTTTTAAACCTGTTCTTGACTACACTTTAGCTAGCCCAGGACAGATGATGGTCTGTAATAAACTGCATAGTTCAGCTGTATTTTGTACTTGGTCACAATGTGTAATAAATTGGTGTAAACCAAAACGATTGAGCACATTTATTTATTTTTTTAATCAAATATCAACATCACAAAACCTCTAATCGAAACGAACGGCAGATTCACAAACATTTCTTTTTGTCCACGGTTTCGTAGAGAGGGTCTTCGCTCACAGACGACTCAATCTTTCGGTATTTACATAATTTAAAAATCCTAGTTCCCATGGCAACACAGTAATATGCTTAACTTTATTCACACTGAATTGTAATTCAAGAAAAGTTCCGACACCTAGCTGAGTTTGCAGTCTCTACCTACAAAGGCACACAGAACAGGATGTGAGCGGAGGAGAGTCGATAGAAAAAAGACTTCCTCCAGGTAAAGAAGGAAGAGCGAGTTACAACACACAACTTAATTTAAGAGGAAAAAGGAAAAGGCTTGGTCCTAAAGCAGCAGGACGCCATCAGAAGTTAAGTGCACATTGTCCTTGAGGCTGAGCCGGAGCCTCCTCTCCCGACTCATCTCTCTCCACCGATCATCTCTCAGACCCTCGACTCAGACACAGTTCTCTCAACCGCCAGCGATGGTGTGTGATTCACAAGGAGCAGCCCGCCATGTACTTCCCTGAGGAAACATTAAAAACAGGAAATGTGTCACAAAGAAGAGGCAGCGAGAGCTTCCAGAAACTTTATCATGTGGATAATCATTAGGTAAGTGACAACGCTGCTAACACTCAAATTTATTTTTTACAATATATACAAAACAAGGTGTCAAAATCTTTAAAGGAATATTTTGACATTTTGAAAAATAATATAATTTTTAGAGTTAAACCAATGAATCCACGTTTAACATATTAAAGCTGTTTCTATCTCTCACAATAACTTCTTACCTGTGATATTACAGATTAATCTATCCATGAGTAAAAGAGTTGGTTCTGAATCGTTAGTCCTGTCTAAAAGACGTCTTATTAGATAAAAGAGGATCGTCATGTTCCAACATGAGCAACAATCCAAAATCTCATATTCAACACACAATGAACGAGCAGGAACATTCTCAGAATTCAGAAGCTGGAAACAGAAAGTTTGACTTTTTTCTTGATAAATTTTCTAAATAATTTCCCAAATCAGAATAATGGCATTGAACCTAATGTCAATTCATTAATGGATCACATAAAGCTACTGATTGTGTTATTTAATAATAAGAATAAGAATAATATGACATTTCATAAGGACCAGACTGACAACTGAAGAACAAAACTCCCACTTCTACCATCATTTAAACACTTTTTTAAAATTTTATATTATAATCTAAAACTTAATAAAATAATCCCTCCTTTAAAAAAAAAAGTTTGCTGACGTGTCAATGAGAGATAACCCTCCACTCATCTAGTGAGAGAAAACAAAGACCAGTTAGTGCGTTCAGATCGTCACCTGTGGCGAATCTTTTCTTGACCAGCGACATGCGGTAGCGGCTGCCCACCAGCTCCACGTCCATGCCCGACAGCGACGCCCCGGAGCCCACAAACTGCACGGCCAGGCTGGGTGGAGGGCCGCGGGGAACCTCCAGGCACTGCCAGCTGGCACACAGAGTCCCTGAGCCTGAGACACAGAGAGGGAGAGGCATCACAGCACTGACACCACAGTGGGCGTTTTCTCTTTCTTTTAACATTGCACCACAAACTGTTTATAACAATTTATCAAACAGTGAAAGATCTTAAGAACTGTGATGCCTCTGATCGTCCCACTGTTGTTTCCATTCGTTTAAAGCAATCACACCAGTGTCTGAAGATTTGTTTAAAAGTTCAGAAACACGACTTCTTTAAGTAAATTAACAAGTGAATGAGTTCAGAGTGAAACCCCTCAGAAACCTGCTCGTTTTCCAGCACGTCTGCTTCTGTTTACAAGGCGTCCAGTAAAAAGAACAATCTTTTTTACTCAAAGCTGTCAGACTGCACTTGGACATTTTAGTATTGAGGAGAGAGGGTTAAAAACAGTATTTTAAAAAGGGGCAGGGAGGAGTTATGGCTGCATTTTAGTGCTTTTGTCAGCGGCTTATAAACCAGAGACGTGAGTGTTTTCAGGCTTTAACTTCTCATCCATCACTGATGCCTGTGAATAGCTCCTTTCTCCTCTGCTCTCCAACACAGTCGCTTCACACCGAGGTAATAATATATCATTAAGTGGAAAATAAAAACCGAGAAATGTGGGTGTGTGGAACAAAGAAACACAGGTGAGCTCACAGCTGAGCTCATTTGAGACTTTTCTCTCCTAAATTCGAGACATAAAACTCTTCTCTGACACGCCGCCTCTTCTCCGTGCACCATTAAGGTCGTGAAATACGAGCAACGATCAACTCGACATGTAATAAAAGAGGAATATCTCACGCTCGTCTTTATATCAGTGCTGTATTCAGAGGCACCTCCACCGAGCTGATGAGAGCAGCTGTGACGTTCAAATGCTAATGCTGCAGTTAAAAAGGTAATGATACGCCTCCAGACTTCAGCTTTTCAAAAAGAGGACGCGAGATCTCTTTACTCTTAATTACTCATTTCAACATTTGTCTGACACGACCAGAAGCCGAGAAGAAAAGGAAAACTCTGGCAGCGAAGAAAAAGTACGAGAATCAGATGGCTGCTGACGACTGGACGTGAGACGAGCGGAAAACCGCGAGAGACAGATGTAGAAATGTGGACGAGGTTCCTTCAACAATGAGTGACAGAGAATAAAAGCAGAGAGGCTCTGACCTTTACTGTGATTGGTCGGGGAAAGGTTGGGGAGTTTCCACAGCAGCCGCCTTTCTTCAGCGTTCCTGTCGAGGGAAATAAATCGGTCTTGAGGCCTGAGTTGCTTCTTAATCTCCATCCTTTGATTTCCATTAAAACCTCTCCTGCTAATCCGTCACAGTCATCCTTCATTCTGTTTACTTAGGCAGGATCAAGAAATATTAATGGAAATAATCTTAACAAACAAGCAGCTCAAGTTGGATGAGAAATGAGTCCATCGACAAACTGCACCAATGATTGAGAAAGTGTAGGCGTCGTTTCCAGAATGTGTTTTTAAAATGGCAACTAAGAAAACGTACTTTATATCAAGTGTATATTAAATTAATATTTGATACGACTGGATTATTGTCAAGTACGTGTAAAAATACATTCTGTTGTAATAAGTTTACACAACAGTCGTTCAGTTTTCTTCATAAGAGGCAGATAAATAATAAGAGACAATATTATTCACTCTATCATTAACCTCCAGATCTACATTTGTGGTCTGTGCAGTGTAAAAACACTGAAAATCTAAATATCTTTCAATCATCGCTGCTCACCAGGAGGCGGGGGGCTGACACTGCAGGTCGGTGGCGGTGTGGTCTAACGGAAGCAGCACCTGGACGGCAGTGAGCTGGGTGGAGGGAGCAGTGGCGGGGCAGCAGTGATAATCCAGGGACACTCGGGTCACCGTGCCGCTCCGCTGACACTCGGCCGACAGCAGGAGAGGAGCTCGACCCGGATCCTGAGAGGACACCTGAGGAACGACAGAGACTTTAGAAGTTGAAATGAAAAAAGGAATAACAAAAGAAGAGTCCACGGGAGGCTAAGGTCACAAATACTTAAGACGATATCTACTCTTAAAGGTTCAGTGTGTAGAATTTAGTAATAAAGTTTCATGTTGCAGCTGAATAATCCTCACATATATACACACAAAATAAGTCAAAATGGTTTTGACATCAAAGTTACCTGATGAAAAATTGTGGCTTTGATGTGACGAGTAAGAAATTGTTAAAAGGTAAAAAGAAGCAGAAATATTTGTAAGTGATTTCACTCACTGACCTGATACTTCAGCAGCCCGACGTTGTAATAAGAGGCCTGAGGGTTGAGCTCAGCTTCTCTCTGCAGGTAGATCTGCAGAGCCTGCATGTTGAACCAGAAGTCTCTGGTGTCGGGGTCGCTCTGAGACGGATCACTGTGGAGAACACAGAGGCAGCAGAGACGTTTAGACTTTAACAGGAATAAACCAGTTTGTGATGCAAACTGCAGATAAAGCCTATAGACCTGTAGAGCAGCTTTTGATTTGGCAGGAAGTGATCGATCCTCGACATGTTGACCAGTCTGAAGCTGAGGACGGGGACGTTGGGGTTGGCCGTGAAAATCCTGGTGATGCCTGCTGGGAACGACATCGTCAGGTCGCCGGTGATCTTCACCAGACAGCTGCCAGAAGACGGAGAATCACAGACACGGTTGAACAAGCAACCGGCAAATAATTACAACAGTGAGAAGAAAGAATAAACCAGAACTCGACTGTTTCTGTCGAAAGCTACTGAAACTGACCGGTTATGTTGTCCACCTTTGAAGTAGGCGTTGATGTACTCAGTAATGGCCGCTGCTACTGGCCAGGCCTCCTGTGTGCTGAGGGAAATGGGACTGGGGCCTCTGGACAGGTGCACTGTGAAGAACAAATGTAGATGGGACCGATGAACCAGGGTCACAGACAGTGTCTGGTTAGCGTGACTTCATTTTGGGGCTGAGACTTACACGGCCTCTGCTGGTGGTCCTGGTGCTGGTAGGGCAGGGGCGAGGCCTGCCCCGCCCTGGCAGGACTGGGAGCTCGGTTGGGACCCCCCCACTCACCGTCTCTGGCTTGAGGCCCCCACTCACTGGGACTGGAGGAGGAGGAGGAGGTGAGGGAAGGGCTGGGCTCCGGCAGCGGGGACGAGCACAGGGACCGCGACTGACACAAACAGGGATAAAGATGATTTAATATTCATACTGCTGCAAACCTGATCAACGCTCACATCAAGTAGGAAGAGTTATCATTTATAGTTTGTATGAATTAACAGGTTACAGACATTAAAACCAGCAGAAAATAATTAAAAGATAAATTAAATTAGAGTGGGTGAGATTGACAGTTCACCATACTCACTCTCTCATAGCTGCTGATTCGGCCCGAGGTCCTCTTGGCCCGGGTCGCTCTCTGAGGAGCAGCTGCAACCGCTTCAGATGCGTCCTGTCTGAAGTTGTGCTTGGACCCTTCCAAAGACAAAGACAGAAAATTACAGA